TACCTCCTGAAGTGCTGGGCCTTCCTACATCAATCATCATTCAAAAAAGTGCCCTCACATGTAAGAGGCCATTTTATGGGGGCATTTTATCAGTTGATGTTTCCTCATCTCAAATGATGCTGGCATATGTCAAGTTGACAACTAACTGGCACATTTGACTCCTTGTCAGCTTGATACACAAGCACATCACTGTTCAAACACAACTGTTTGTTCCCAAGATGATGTTACTATAGTATCTCTATATAAAATACTCCCAACTTTTTTGTTTGTTTTATGTGTGTGTGGTTGTTTTGACTGTATTATGCATATGTCCTATGTGCAGGCAGTTCCCTCTGGAGCCAGAATCCCCTGGGACTGGAGTTACAGTTTTTAGCCCTCATGTGGTGGGGGACCACTAAGAAACCAGTTTTCTTTTTTTTTTTTTTTAAAGCAACCAGAGCTTTTTACTGCTGCACCATCTTTTCAGCACCTGTACAGAGTTTTAAAAGAGTTTTAAAGAAATTCAACATAAAATCCAAAGTTTTTCTAGAACTCCAAAGTGTCTCAAAAATACCCATGGTCTCATAATTGTATGTTCCTGTAAAAATAAGTTAAATCTTTTTATTCCAAGAGGGAATAATCAGGACATAGTACTTACATTCAAATATAATCAAAAGCAATGCTTTTATTCCACCATATCTAATGTTCCTGATAGTATAAAACTCAGTGTCAGACATCTAAAATCCATGATGATCCAGGCTCTAAAGGCTTTTACTTCTCCAGCTATGCCCTCTACAGCACACGCAGCTTGTTTCCTAAGCTCGGGCCTCTTCACTCCACACTTAATGTTGTCCTTGGCAGTTGTTCCATGGTGCAAAATGCTGGGCTTCCCATTGCAACTGAGCTGTACCTCCAGTAGCCCTTCAGGGACTCTAACCCTGCCACATGGGGCTTCTACTGAAACTGAGGCTGCCCCTTTACTAGTGGCCTTTCCTGGTCCCTTTCAGTAACTCTAACCCTGCCAGGCCTTAGCTGTCCCCTATGGCACCTTCTTGCCTTCAGTATTATTTGGGTGACTTGTCTACAAAGTTCAACTGTAAGCAGAAGATGTAGTCCCAGCCACACTGGACAAGTTAATCCTGAGAAAATACCCCTAGATTCATAATTCTTAATGATACTGATCTTTTCTTAATCACTAATTTTCAGCACCAGCTAACCAGTATCATTTGTCCCAGGAAAGCAAAGGTTTCGCTTCAGTGATTCTGGACTCTTGCCAACCACAGGTCTTTTTGAGCCCCAGGTGACCAGAACCACAGATTTTTAGTTTACCATATCAAATCTCCCTGAATGTGTATTTCCAACTTCCCTCTGAACCTTCACAAGCTAGGCCTCCATTATCTGTATTAATCCTATCTTCCAAGCTCCTACAGGACAGCTCACTGAACTATGAACATGAAACATAATTCTTCCAGAAGTATATGGTCAAGGCCCACATCAGTACCATGCACTACCCCTTAACAGATTCTGTCTTAGTGTTTCTGTCAGTGGTAAAACACCACAACTAAAAAGCAACTTGGGGAGTTAAAAGTTTATTTCAGCTTGCAGTTCTCTATTATAGTCTATTGTAGGGAATCAGCACAGGAACTCAAGGTAGAAAATGAAGCATAATCCATGGAGGAACACTACTTACTGGTTTGCTGTCCATGCTTTGCACAGCTTGCTTACTTATAAAACCCAGGACCATCTGCCTAGGGGTAGTATTACTTACAGGAGGCTGGGCCCTCCCATATCAGTTTTTAATCAAGAAAATGCCCCACAGACATGCCCACAGGCCAGTCTGAATGAGACAGTTCCTTAGGTTAGGTTTTGTCTTCCCAGATCACTCTAGTTTGTGTCAAGTTGATAAAAACTAACCAGCACACCAGGTTTATGTTGTTGCCTTAATTATATTGTATTTTCTGGACATTGTACCTTGGTCAGCTTTTATCTAAGATGTCTGAATTCTTATCTTTATTACTCACTTTTTTTTACGTTGTCATAATTACCAGTACAGTTGTGTATGTATACTTAAGACAACGTTGTTTTCTACATTTCCAGTATCTCTGATTTTGGCCAATTAACGGAGTGTAGTAGCTAGGCATATCGTGACACAAGCTAGTTTTAGAAGGACTAACTGGATTCTGACTACTTAGATACTAAGTCAAGATTCCAGAAGTTTATTAGTTAAATTTAGATTGAAGAATCATGTAGGTATGATAGCAGAAACATGTTCAGCTGTGGAAATAGATGTCTAGATGCCCTAATTATCATCCTAGTTTTCCTTAAAATTTCTAAGGAACTTGTACTTTTCCTCTTTTTTTTTTTTTTTGCCTTTGCGTTTATCTTTCCCCTTCTCCCTGACCCTCTCTTTTGCTCCTCCTCCTTGCCACCCCCCTTTGGTTGGTTGGTTGGTTGTTTGGAAAACAAATGATCTTGAACTTCTGATGTCTCTGCCTCTCAAATGCTAATGCTAAGATTACAGACTTGTGTCACCATGCTTAATTTTATGTGGTTTTGGGGACTAAACCCAATGCCTCATACATGCCAGGCAGTCTTGGTTGTGGTGCATTCCCTTCCCAGAGAGTTTTGCTGTCTTCCTCCTTATACTGGTTTGCTTCAGTCTTGGTCTTTTGAATTTGGGGTTGACTAGCATCTCTGGGATGCTAACTTGTATATTTTGCTCCCTTTCTGTATCTTATTACTTGTTGCTAAAATACCCATTTCCATTGTAATCAGTTCATAATGATGCTGAGTTTCTTAAATACATACGGCGATATTTCTCTTACAAAGTACTAGTTGTTTCCCCGAGCTAAGAAAAAAATTCAGGTAAATATGAGTGATGTCTCTTTAAGCCTAGCCTTTCAAACATATACTCAAATTTTAATTATACTACTTTTTGGGATTATAAATTCATAAATTATATTGTATGCATATTTTTATATGAAATAGATTTTAAAGTATTTGTTGTATGCTTGATTTGTATTTGTAGTAGCCTGAATAGCTCCTTTCAAAGTCATAGGTCCTCTTAGAGAGTAGACAGTATGCTATAGTAACTAGCATTTTTATTTCTGGATAGCATAAAGATCCTAAATCCCAAAGACTGGTCATTTGTCTTAATTTCTGACTATATTGTTATAAAACCATGCTGGCTAGCTTTAGGATTGATTAATTTAGTTCAGTTAGTTTCCACATTTCAGGTAATGTAATTGAATAATTATAGTTAAAGAGACTGATTTAGCTGGTGTTAGTGGTTTTATATAGGTGTTCTTATTTTAAAACCTTTTCATTGTTTCTTTTTTTGAGACAGGATGTCACTATGTAGTCCTAGCTAGCTTGGAACTTGCTATGTAAATCATGCTAGGGAATGCCAAGATTAAAGGCATGTTCATTGTGCCCAGCAATTAAAGCAAACCTTAACAGCTCTCTATTTTAGTCTCAATTTTCCTTATAGACAAATTATTATTATCCATATATATATATATATAATATTTTTCTATTTGTGAATTAAAGTATTCCTTTATAGCAGTGGCTTTCAACCTTTCTAATGCTATGACCCCCCCAACCATTAAATTATTTTCGATGCTCTTTCATGACTACAATTTTGTACTGTTATGAATCATAATGTAAATAAATCATAATGATATGCAGGGTATCTGATATGTGACCCCTATGAAATGGGTGTTCATCCTCCACGGGGGACATGACCCACAGGTTGAGAACCACTGCTTTATGATATATTTTAATTCCACCTTGCTCCTATAAGCTCCTTCAGCAGCTAGTGGTTGGAACCAATATGCATTCATGTTAGAATGAAGATTGTTAGGAAAGATGAGTATAGAATATAGGATGTGCTGTGTAGTGAATGGCTGACATATGATTTGCTGAGACTAAGTGAACGTATATCTGAAAATGCCCAGTGGTTCAGCTCTTATTTTTTTTGTGAACTAACAGCCAGATTATTTGTAATTTCCCATACTATTTAAAACAGGGTTCTCATGTATCAGCCATCTTCTGTAAGGGTGCCCAGTGTGACTTCAGTTGATCCTGCTGCTATTCCACCTTCATTAACAGACTACTCAGTACCATTCCACCATACGCCAGTGTCAAGCATGTCATCAGATTTGCCAGGTATGTGGAGAGCTTTTGTTTTGTTTTAGTTACATTTTTTATTCTTAATCAGCAGAACAAGTGTGTGTGAGTGTGTGTGTGTGTGTGTGTGTGTGTGTGTGTATACACATACATATAAATAAATTTTGGATGTAATTGCTAAAAGAAATGTCAAGGCTTCATGTAGAAGCCTTACTGTCTTAGTATCTTATATTTGGTTGTTATTTTAATTAGTAAGAATCTATAGATTTCTATTAATAGGAGATAATAGGAGTATAGAATGAAATTTTTATAGAGTTTTGCACTTAGGCTTTTTCTGGAAGCTTAGGGGCAGAGTTTCCTCAGAAGTCTTTTCTTCAAAACATCTATACAGTTGGGTCCATTTTTACTTACTGATTTTTACCTTGTTGATTTTCTTCTCTGTAAGGATAGTGTTAACCATGTATTTTTCTAAAATAGGTCTTAATATTTGGAGATACTTTAACATGTACAATGATTACATTTTAACAAGTCAAATTTGCTTGAATTCCTTTAGTGCCAGAATTTATGCAACCAAGACCATGATCTAACATTAACCACAGCCTCCCATCCTCTTTCTTCTTTCCTCCATGCTGAGATGCTTTCTTTTCATATTTTTTGTCAATCAAGTATGAGCAAAGTTAGAACTAGTACATCATATATCCATGACTATCTACAAAGTATTTTTATTAATACACTTTGCCTTCATCTGTTTTTTGAAAATTGATTTTGATCTGCAGTTTATTTTTATTCCTTAATTGCTAATTCTTTTACCTATCCTTGTATAGTCTTGCCTCTTGAATTTAGTTTTACCTGAATAAATTGTAGAGGGAAAAGAGTAGTTGAAAAATAATACCAAAAATATCTTTAAAAAAACACCAAATGTCATTATGTTTACTCCATATGTAGTTTGTGATTTTGTACTTTTCACATTCTTTGTGAGACCAACCAGCACCAGTCACAACACATCCACGGCATAGATGTAAGGATTCCTGGTCTCATTTCAGAGTTCTTCACAGTCATGTGTTGTAACCTTGGCTAAGTTGATGAATGAATGTTCATCGTCTTAGTATGTGTTAAATATAAGTATTTCTAAATGATTTGCTTGAGACCTTTATTTAAATGTTAGTCTTCGATAAAAAAGGTAGTGAACATTTATGTTTACTAAAGTGAACTGTTAAGCAATAATACCGAAAAAAGTATGCATCATTAGTCCTGCTGATTTGCAAATTATGAGGATCTGGGCGAATTTATATTCTGATTTTGGGCATAAGTAATTTTTTTTTGTGTGTGATATGTCTTAAATATGTCTCGCCTTTGTATTTTATAATTAAGCTTGTGGGGATCATACTTATATTCTAGACTGATATTTGGCCAATATAAACCAATAATCTGGTTAAATGCTGCAAAGCTTTATTAGCATTTGATAAATTTAAATAGAATAGGGTTAGTTAGTTATTCTTAGGAAAAATTATTAGTTATTAAAAGTTATGTAGCAATTAGACATCTAAGTTTAGTTCTTCTGTTTTATTATCTATGTACTTTTTTGCAATCAGTGATCTGCTGTGTAATATTTATGTAATTAGTCATAATGTGCAGTTTTGGTATTGGTAAATTTAATAATTTTATAGTAAAAATTTAAGTAGAACACCAAGAATGGAGAGAAGACAGTTTTAATAGATTCTAACATTCCTTTTAAACATCATAAATCTGAATCTTCTGAATCTGCAGGAGAACAAAGAAGAAATGATATTAATAACGAAGTGCAGCTTGGAACATCTTCTGATACTGTGCAACAATGAATACAAAATAAAACATAATTTGTATTTATGGAGTGGAAAACAGCTTGATTATTTCAAGAAAAAATATGTCTGCCTTATTATTGCTAGTGCCATATTGTCAGGTGCGAATGGTGCTCAAGAGTTGTATGATTAAATTTTAAAGTGCTAAAACTTTTACATATTCAACCTTGTAGCATTTATGCTTTGTGAAGTTCATGACTTAAGTAAGTAAAAATTGTGTGGTTATCAATGAGGGGATGAAAAGCAAATGATCAGTCCATTTTATTAATGAGGCATTCAAAATTCAAAAATTGCAACTCCATTAGTGTTAATTAAAAACATATAGATCATATTATCAGAATTTTTAATAGTACTTTTTTTAGTTAAAAACAACAGCATTTTCAACTGAAATATTTGAGTCCAAAATAAAAAGCCTATCAATATGCTGTTAACAATTGAAATATAAAATATGGAAGTAGCATTTTGCTAACAAGGCAGTAAAGTTTTACTGTTGGAACCATTTCATATGCAAAATAATGTAACTAAATGATAAAAATCATGATAGTCTATTAATAGTAGGGATAACTTTCAAACTACATGGAAATGTTTTCATTGAGGAATATTCATATTAAACCCTCTTTGGTGTTTGCGTGATACTTTGAAGACAATTAAATTTCAACGAAACTTTATAAAAATGTTTATACATCTTATTGGGGTATTATGTAAGTTGTAGTATGTCAAGTTATCTGTGGCTGAGACGTTAGAACAAATCAAGTTCTTCTAAAAGCTTTTCTAGATTTTACATTTGCTGGGTCATACGAAGTCAGCAAAGAAAATTACAGTACATCTGAAAAGCTGAGTTGAAATAATTAATATTGGAAACCATTGGCCCTCAGTGTACATCTTACAATAACAGCACAGAAACATTTGTAGTATTTTATCAAACTTACTTGTTTATTTAGCGTTATGAATTGGCTACAGTTGAACATTGGGGAAAGTGATTATTCTCAAATGATTATTCTCAAATTTATTTCCATTCGTGGCATATCTTCTGAAATGGTAGTACTTTGTTTACTTTCTATTTAGCTTGTTATTAAAACAGAATGAGGAACCAACATAAACATAGTGAGCCAGCCATGGTGAGTTTGCTGCCATCCTGCACTCAGGAAACAGAGGCAGGAGGTCTACCAGTGCATGTGTCAGCCTGTGCTGCAGAGTAAGATGTTTTCTGACAGTTCCGACAGAGGGAGGACCTGAGTTCATTCATAGTACCCATGTGGAAGCTCACCAGAACTTTTAACTGCAGCTCTTGGGGATCCAGTGCCCCCTCTTCTGACCACTGTGGGTTCCTGCACACAAAAAACACAATTAAAAAAAAATAAAAACAAAAAGTAGGAGCTATTGTCAAATTGAACAAAATGGTACACCACTTGGAGCAAAACAACAGAGAATAAAATCATGACTTGGTCATATAAAACTCTTAAAAGACATAAAAAGGCTAGACAGGGTTGAATTGTTTAAAAGAAGAGAGATTTATTAAATAATTTAAAGTGTTCTCCTCATTTAAATACATCATCTGTGGCTATCATTTTAATGGGTATCTCTTGCAACAGTGGATTGTGGTTTACTTTGTTCATCAATTTAAACTGCTATGTCATGTAGCTAGTAACAGATTATACTAACAAATTTAAAAATGCTTTAGAAGTTGTTTCAGTAATTCCTTCCAAATAGCTGGGGTTACGGCTTGTATCATGATAAATGTTTAAAATACACTTATTTGTAAATAAGGGACTACTGATGCTTTAAATTTTTTTAGTTAAAATTATTCATAGTTTTTTATCAAATGTGTCCGTTATCTTTTTTACTAATCTCTATTTTCATAATGATATAGTATTATATTAGAATTTCACTCAGTGTGGTTGGTTTATTAAATGCCAGCATATAAATATTTATGGGATTGAATAGACATTGGCATTTTTTGTTTGTATGTTTTTTGTCTTTTGAAATAGGATCTCACTGTGTAGCCCTGGCTGGCCTGGAACTCATAGAGATCTGCCTATCTCTGCCTCCAAAGTGATGGGCAACATTGCCCTAACTTAATGGCCCCATACCCAATATGTGGTTTTGTTTTTTAATGTTTTAAAATAACTTGAAAGCATTTGATCACACAGGGAAGTCTTCAGAAGTTGACTTTGAATATTATTATTAAACTTTTTGGACATGTTTTTTTCTATAGCTTATTATTTGAGTACTTATTTAAGGAAAATCTTTTTCACATTCCTATTTCCAGAATATGGTTGTAGAGTTCTAGTTCCTTGGTTTAGGGCATTGCATTAGCTGAGAACCTATTAACTGTTGACTACCTTTGTAGTGAGTAGCAGTTCCCATTCGTGCACAAAGCAAGCACAAAGTAGTAGCTTGCTTTGTGCAGAGTATAACACTCTGTAAAACTCTTTTTGTGGGAGTGGGCAGCAACTAGCTGTTGATGAAATATCTGTTAAAGAGTTGGTATTATTAGACTAATGTGGTGTATTTCTGAAAAATAAATGTGAAGTATCTTAAGAACCTAAGTATGTTGTTTTTTAATGGTCCAAAGATTTTTATTGCTTCTTGCTATACTAAATGACAAAAGGAAAAGATTTGGATTAACTGGTCCAACTCTGGAAATTGTGGACTTCTGCTTTTGAGTTGCTGAGAGGCAGTTTTTCCAGTTGTTGGGTCAGAGAATATATTCACCTTTGGTTTTAAATGCATTAAATATCACCAATTATGATTATAGAACTTCACTGTGGCAGAGAGGTGAGCATTTGCCACATATGTTCCCTGGCTTATACATACAGAGTGATCTTGGGAAATAATTCTTGTCTCCAAAATATGAGACAACTATTAACAAAGCATTTTTGTTTTAGGTTTGGATTTTCTTTCCCTTATTCCAGTTGATCCCCAGGTATGTATCCTGAATTTAAGCAACTAATTTGTATTTGGTTGTCGATTAAGTCATACTAACTAAAAAGACCAGTTGCATAAAATCAGGACAGTCAATTTTCATGTGGATAGAAAAGGGAGTACTATATAAATATTATACATTTTTTTAAAGGAATAAAGTTGCTGGTTTTCAATTTATTTTATTGATCTTACTCTATTTTTATTGAACATAAACCGTTGATGTTTCTTACAAGTGTTGAGTGATTAGGATGAGTGAAAACAGTACTAAATGCATAGAAGTTAAGATTTTCATATTAAAAGCATTTATATAAAACAATTAACTAAGTTCATCAGATTTCGATCAAGTTTGGATCATTGTTTGAAAGACAGAGTCAGACTTTGAAAAGGCCTCAGTTGAAAGTTGCAGAATTGCAATCAAAGAAAAGAGATTCTAGGAGTATCCTAGAATTCCAACTGCAAGGATTCTGCTGACAGTCTTTAACAGCAGAGGCAAAGGACAGAAAGCAAAAGGGGCAAGGTGGAACAGCAAAAGAAAGCTCTTGAGGTACAGATGTGGTACCTAGGGAGAGTTGGAAGAATTGGACATGTCTCACCAACTTCAGAATTGACTAACTGCAGGTCCAGTATGAGTCTCCTATCTCAGTATCTGCATCTCATTGCAAGAACAGCACAGGAAATTTGTGCTCAAGATATGTGTGGACTGAGGATGTTCTTCTCACCCTGCCTTGACTTTGTTGTATGAGTAAGACATTACAAGGGAAGTTACATAGTTTTCTAGGATATAAGTTCTTCAGGCTTAAGAGAATTACATACTTTTATGTCAACAGTGCTTTAAAAGAAAAGTAATCTTGGAACCTATGGGGTTTTTTGTTTGTTGGTTTGTTTTTTTGTCTCCCGCCCCACCCCCAGGGTTTCTCTGTATTGTTTTGAAGCCTGTCCTGGAATTTGTTTGGTAGACCAGGCTGGCTTCGAACTCACAGAGATCCACTTGCCTCTGCCTCCTGAGTGCCGGAGCCCATGGTTTTTATTTCATAGTTTTATTTGCATGTGTATTGGGAAGCTGATTTATTTGGTAACTTGGTAGGAGGATGAGAGTGGTACCTTCTGCTGATTATAGAATCCCTAGGTTATCTTACGTCTCCATGTTATTCTATAATCTATTATTCCCTATGCAGGTATATACTAGAGTAAAAAGTAAAATGGTTACAACCCAAGTCTAAGTATTCAAGACACAGAGTCATTGGCAGCAGGATGGCAGCATTTAGCATTTTTACAGATTAGTGCTACCGTATAGGTAAAAACAAGCTTGTAAGATAGCAGATTAAAATGGAATCCTAGGCTTTTCTTTATATTTCCTGTTTTATTATAATTGACTTGATTTTAGAGAATTTTTAATACTTGACAGTTTCACTATCAGAACAAATGTCTGTTAAATTTCCTAATGTGTGGCATTAATTTTGTAAACAAACCAAGAGTTAACCATTCAAAAAAAAAAAACAGTAACTTTCTTTGTCAAAAGGCAGCTTCAATCTGGCATAGTGGATCACACCTTTAATCCATCACTTGAGAGGCAGAGACAGACAAGGTCAGCCTGGTTTACATAGTGCTTCCCAGGAAAGCCAGAGCTACATAGTGAGACCCAGTCTGGGGGAAAAAAAAAACATAAATAAATAAATAGATGAAAATGCAGACTCACTTTCACTTGTTCTCCTAGCTGTTTCCTTTTTTTTTCTTTTAATGCGCCTTGAAAATAATGTAATGTGAACAGCTTAGTTTTAAATTACTGTCCATTACTCATTGTCTCTAAGAAAAATCTGAATAATGGATAGGATAGATAATATTAGATGTCCTTGTTGATTGTTTTTTCCTGTAGTCTAATTGAAGACAAACTTGGCAGCACTAGACATTACATGTGCTAAAATCAGTGCAATTGTGCCTCATGTGAAACATCCTGCAGTGAAATACAAAATTCCTTTTAGCTCTTTATCTCAATTCCTTCTCAGTTTAGATTACTGTGCTCAGGTTTGTATTTGTGTTGGAATCAGCCATCCAGATGGAAGGGTACTTGAAATAAGAACATTGCAGAGGGATGTTAAACATCATAAGGAATATTGAATTTGTGGTTATGGTATTATTCTCTGAACATCCCATGGTAATGAGCTGCCCTGTAACCTTCCAATTCAGAATGAATGTTAGGTTCTAAATTACAGAAGTATTGCTCTTTGTTTACAGAGGAATCCAGTGCTATCATTTAGCTTGTTACTCTTAATATTACTCATAAAGGGCCTGTTTGATTCTAAATTTTGAAGAATCCATGAACTTTGTTTCAATTATTAAGTTGTCTTTGAGATTAGTTCAAGTCATAATTTGGGGGATCAGTATTTAACATAAAATGATTTCAGTTATTGTTGACATTGTGTTTTCCCTGTGTATATGGTCAACAAACAAGTTCCACACATTCAAGACAATTAAGAATGCGTGGCATTAAGTAAAGAATGTAAATAGCTAAGTCCATACCATCTTCCACTTAAAGATGAAATTTGGTATTTTTAAATCCCAAGAGGATTTAACTTTGTGACTGTCAGTTGTACATATCTAACAATTTTTAGTCTATTTATTTAAAACCAATGTAGCCTCTTCCTCATCAGCATCATTGTTTGTTTCAAGCAGTACTGTCCTCCTATGTTTTTGGATAGTCTCACCTCACCCTTAACAGCAAGCAGTACGTCTGTCACCACCACCAGCCCCCATGAAAGCAGTACTCATGTTAGTTCATCCAGCAGCAGGAGTGAGACAGGGGTCATAACCAGCAGTGGAAGTAACATTCCTGACATCATCTCACTGGACTAAAGGCGGACATATTTGATTCTGGGAATCATTCGTCAGAACTACTCCTTCTTGGATATCTAGTCCATGGAAGCTAACTTTTGCAATTTAATATTTATTAAATTGTCAGATGAATTCTTTGCTGAGAAATGAACACAGATAACTTCAGCAAGAACCAGATGACAAGCAAGGACTTTTGTTATGCTGTACACTGAGCATCAGATATATTTCATCTACAATGGTGTCTTCTTGAGCAGTGGATTTCAGTTTCTACATTACTGGATGGATTCTACAAACAAATTTTTGTTACAATAAACAGCAATAAAATTATGTAAATACTTTTCTAATTAAAATAATGTAATCACTGATCTAGAATAACAGCAACTTCTGTTTAATCCAATATGAAGGAAAAATAGATGGGAAGAAGTCATGTTTGCTGAATGAATACTTTCTATAGAGATTTGTTCTATTTTGTTGAAGTAATGAAGTTTCAGTACTGGCCAGAACTTGGGTTCCACTTTTCTTCTTTCGGTTTACTGTTCTTCATGATCCCATCAAAGAAAATGGTCTTCGTGTTCAGTGTTTTTTTTCTCTTGTCGTTTACACTTTAAAGTTATTTGCTGATAGATACAAAGTGCTGGGGTTTGGTTGCTGTTTATAGTGATTATGTTTAAGAACACTGGGCACATTTTGTCCTGATATAATGTGTTATTTTTGGTTACTATACATTCTTCTAGAATTTCCTACAATCTTGAGACCTGTTTTTTCAGAAAGAAAGTCTACAGCGTTTGAGTGAAATATGCTTGCATTAAGATGTGGCTAGAATATTTGGTAGAAAGTTTTTTACAATGTTCAGAAATATTTAATAGTTGGAAGGCATTAGAACATATGTAGGAGAGGTGGAAATAGCTAAATTCTCCCTAAGAACTTAATTTGTTTTTATAGAATAATAGAGTATACTTTGTTTAATGGCATTAATATAGAAATTATATTTAAGATCTCTGATCATAAATCTCACCAATGTAGTTTCAGTTTCAGCAGTGATTTTTCAAGTTTAAAGAAAAGTCAATAGTAAATGATGGAGGGTGGTATCAGATATCATTTTCCTGAATTTTTTTTAAAGAAGTGTTTTATGAAAACATAGACATAATAATTGGGGATGTTTGAATAAAGTGGGGAAAGGGGGTGCAAAGGCCCACTTAATGCTTCAAAACACACCTCTCATGTGGCTCTTCTGGGTGTGCTTTGGAAACTACTGTGCCTCCTACCTTGTATGTGAGTCACTCAGAAAGCTGGGTTTCACTTACGGAGGCTTTCAGCAGTCCTTATTTTCCTTTGCTTCATTTGGGTTCCTTAATTTTCAGTACCTAAATGTTTAGTACTTTCTTGATTCCTGGCTTTCTCTGCCTATGCCTATCCAACTTAAAGGTTTTGTTTTTTGTTGTTGTTGTTGTATTTTCTTTTAAAGTGGCTATTCTTAACTTCTCAAATAAGTTCCAACATGAGGAATCTCTGCTTCCACTCCTGACAGGGACATGTTACTTCCAAATCGGTGCAGCTCTGAAGAGCTGCCTTGTCCCTGGTTGGTGTTTTATCTTCTCAAGTTTTTGTGGCCTTTGTGTGCTTTTTGTACAAAATGCCCGTGTAGTTGTCCATATTGTCCCTTCTTTGCCTCCACCACCCTTTGTTATATGATCCTTCCTTTTAATAGGGCTTTTGTATTGTCAATGATATGGAAAGCAAAGCCAGCCCCTGTGATCACAGTAGTCATTGTACTATTGCCCCTGGCTTTAACTTGTTAGCCAGTCCTGGATAGAAAATTTTTTCCTGTAGGGTTTATGTTGCTACTGTAAGTACAGATGCAGTTTCTGTTACCTCTGTAATCAGAAAAAGTCACCTGGCTTCTGTGGTATAATTTGTTAATAAAGAAGTGATGCAGAGTTGTCATCATTTTGTTTACCCATTAGAGTATCAAAGACTCTCTTATTATGATCAGTGAAGTCTTACAAGTAATGAAGATGGTAATATAAATTATTTACCTAGGTCTCATAATGGATATCTCTGTACATTTGCCACTTTCATGTGAGAAGTTTTAGTGTTCAATTTTGGTGTTTAATGAAATTACAAAAAATTTTACTTTATCTCCGGTGACTAGCACCTTCAAAATAGACTTAAAATTTTTAAAATTGATAATTGGGATTACTTTGTACATATATTTGAAGGTGTGTAGGATTTTTTTTTGCCCTTGGCTCTGTGACTGCATGGTGCTTACAGAGCCAGTCTCTCTTTACTGTCACTTTCTTTTGAAGATCCTGGCTTCTTAGCTGTGTCTTGCTAATGCAGATTTCTATAGGAAAAATAGTTCATCCTGGTGTTACAGATGTTAGCCAGCTGGCCATTATCTCAGATATCTCCATTTAGGGAATAGTGCTTAATGCTTACAGTTA